TATTTGATTTATAAACAACTCAAATTACGGCCTTTGTGCAATAACCTGTTTTATATTCAGATTTATTTCGTTGGGGTTATAGGGTCTTATACCTCCATTCCCTTGCTCAAGACTCAAACTCCTACAAAGCCATGCAACAAGTCATAGTTCCACACATTCAGTCCCAATAGTACGCGTTTATACTCCCCTTTCCCACCAAAATTTCCTGCAATCCATAAAAATGTTTAAACAAATGCATAGGCCCGGGTTTCAGACAGGAGAACGACTTCTACATATATATGCTAAGCTGACGAAGAAGCAGCGGTAGACAGATAGCCCTGAGGCAACTCGGGCGTGGCTGGGTTCGAACTCAACAGATTCGATCCTCAGACAAAATCTTGCAATGCCAAATGACAGCCTCATATCTAGGCAAAAGTTACCCGCCACTTTGAGGGAGAAGAGTTGTCAATGACATCACTGCCTTGTGGTTAAACGTCGGTTCGTCAAAAACTAAAAAAAATAAAAAAGACATTCGGTAATAGCTAGATGAATTTGAGAGCACCAATCCAAACGAAGTCCCCCAGTCCACTGTCAGTCCTGTCAGCTGGAGCCGCAACTTCGTGCGCCACGACAGCCTGAATAAATTGGCTTCAGTGGTCTGCACCTCCTTGACTCTTTCGGTGTTCGACTGACGAGAGGCCGCTTAGAATTACATGTGAAAGCAGCTACCTGGTTAACGGATCAGGACGGACCTCCAGTGCCATTTTGAGCTATAAGTGTGGAACACTGTCGAGGAACGAAGCCTTAAACCAACTAACAGAGGAATCAGGGATCTTCTGCAACATCACTGCCATCTGCGAAACACGACGACGGAAGGAGATGCAATGATACCCGAAAAGACGTTAGTTCAATTTGGCTTGGAAGAAAAGATGGAGCAAAGAACATACAAGGAATCAAATTTGTATTTAGCAGCAATTAGTCCTTAAAAATCTTCACCTGCTAGGCGAAATCAGCAAGACCTGGGGAGGGGAGGGGGTGCTGTGCCTCAAAGTGAACAGGAAATGGACCAGCAAGATGGTTCCAATCTATGTTCCCACGATTACAGCTGACGAGGCGGAAGTGGAATAAATCTATTAAGAATTGGAACAGGCATTGGCTCCAAAGTCGGCGCGTACCTCCGTACTGAAGAGCTTGATGAGGCGATGCTCAGAGTGCACTTCTCCAACGAAGACTGGAGCATCAAAGGCAGCTTCAAAGATAACTACGAGAAGTTCGCTGAGAAACTGAGGTTCAGCGAAAAGTCATCAAAAAGAGTGAACGAAAGGATCTGAGAATAGTTTACTAGAGAAGAAGAGGATGATGTGTCCGACATGGTAGAGTACACTCTTCACTGCGAACTCATTAGGCGGAAGCTGAGGAGTTAGTACCATGGCAGTCAATTTCATAAAGTTCACCAACTTCGTCAACTTCATTGAATAACATGGACTGACGCCTGACAGAACTGAGAGACAGTCTTTCCAAGATTTTTGACACCCACGTTTTTGCGTCAAAGACATCCCTCGAACCGTCACTCCAACGGCCAGAAGGATTACATTCAGGGCCTTCAGAAGCAAAATTCAGCACGTCGCTCAAAAAAAGTGAAGAAAAGAATAGACTAGTGCAGAGATTATATAACAGACCAAGTGATCAGAAGTCGGGCCAGAGACATTTAATTGCTAACTGGAAAAGGAATAATTGCCACCCATGCTGAAAGGGTAAAAAACCTTCGTATTGTTCAAGAATGGCGAGAAGGACGATATGAAGAACTATCGCCCAATCTGCCTGCTCTCCCAAGTCTTCAGGCTGATCAGCCAGAACGAAGAGCAGTCAAGAGAACGGGCAGGACGCAGATGAAGCTAAGACACAACGGACGACGCCTTTCCTTTAAGTGACGCCTCGAACGCTAGAGGGAATTCCAACTCTTTTTTTGCATCGTTTTCGTCACCTACGAGAAACAATCGACACGGTCGAATACAATGCAGTGCAAACTGCCCTGACAGAGCGAAACATCGACACCCAGCACAAAA